GAACTTTGACATTGACAATGGTGGAAAAATTGAAAACTATCGTGTCCAAAGTATGCCTTCTCACTTCACAAGAGCTCAACAACTGGGATCCAAGAGCTATCCGTACCTAGAGTTCGACATTGAACCGAATATACTTGGTCGCCAGTACAAAAATTGTGGGATTTGAGTCCGCGACAATGAAGGGACATTTTTCAATTATCTACTTATATCTTATGGTGGCTTTGAAAATCAAGAAACATGTGGGTCTTTGAAGGAGCAAATAGACCGGCTCACCTAATTGTTGAAGCAGCTGTTAGTGAATGGAAGGAATTCTCAGAGGTCAGCTGGGTCATCTTCAAAGAGGACAGTATGAAGGATGGTCTAGGATTATGTGAATCAGTGGAATCCGAATACTGCTCTCTGTAATTTTCCTTATTTTCTAACCATTTATATTCTATAGGGAGTCAAGTTTAGTAGGTATATATATCAGCTGTTTGAGTCCCATATTATAAGTTTGTAGTATCTGTCTAGACCACCGAAGAGTGGTTCTCCCTTCAGTCGGCAATTTGTATTCAAACATTGTTGTTTTATTATTTATCTAATGGAAAAAAAAAAGACAATGAAGGGACATTTTTCCATTTTTTTAATTATAACATTATTGTCTTTGTAACCCATAAAATGGCCCTCGTTCATTTTTTCCACAATGGCTAGTTTTATTTTTTCCTAAAAAAAAAAAGGGACATAAATCGTGGGCTTGTTATATTTTTGCTTCCCTGAACTGGACCTCCGCTATCGGCTATTGATATCTAAAAAAAAAAAAAAAGAAAAATCTTTTAGCTCAACCGACCGACATCCATCAATCAACCTCTCATATCCCCAGAGCTTCTTCCCCGCCGGCACTCTAAATCCCTTTAATCCCAGTCTCCTGTAACCTAGCCAATTCCTAATAGCAAATCGGATGACTATGGACTTGCTGAAGAATTCACACTGCGTTCCATCTCCATTTCGCCCTCCGCCGCTGCTTTCTTATCCTCGGTGTGCGGTTGCAGTTTCCCTATTCAGAAAGCCTAAACATGTCGGAAAATGTACAAGTATGTGCGCGGCTTCCAACTCTGATACGATAGTGAAATCGAGCAAATTTGCCGACAAGGAGGAGGAGCTCGGAGATTTGAAGTCCTGGATGGATAGGAACGGACTTCCTTCCTGCAAAGTTATGCTTAAAGAAAGACCTTCTCACGTCTCGAAGCATCGTCCTATTCACTATGTAGCAGCCAGTGAAGATCTTCAGGTTAATTTATTATGGTTATCCAGTTATTTAAGTGGAGCGCAATTTAGTATTGTCTACGCCTGCATTTAGGAGTTTAGTCGGACTTGAATATGATGCTTATTGAAATAATAACCGACACCAAACAAGTACAAGAGCTAATATACTGCATGCCTTGCAACTATTGTTTCGTAAGATACTCATTATGTTCAAATAGACAAAATGTGATTTAGATCCTAATTCACGAATTGTCTTTGGGAATTGATATGTTGCTATTGTCAGGAAGGTGATGTAGCATTTTCTGTCCCTAATTCATTGGTGGTGACCCTCGAGAGAGTATTGGGAAATGAAACAATTGGTAAGGAGATGCTATACTTTTTCTGGTGTGTATTTTTCCCATTGCTCTTTCTTTGTTTTCATTCAACAATGAGTCACCTGAGAAATTCTTTTACCATGACATTTGTGAAATGTGAAATTAAGAAGTATTTTTCTGCACGTGAACTGGAAAACAGTGTGTTTTAGCATTTAATGGGTCCTTCGCTTGTTATTAGTAACTTCTTGTTACTGTTTTTGTTCGGTGAGAACCACATCCTAGCCGCAAGGGAAAAACCTACATTCTTGTCTCTCTGTTTGTGTGTGTGTGTTTATTTTTTTAACTAGAGAGAGATTCTATATTGCTTCTATAATATTTTTTTAAATATTTAGATTTCAGTGTATTTACTTCATGGTGGCAACGGCTTTTATGGCTTGATGCTGGTAGATTGAGTTTGTAAATTTTATTGTTGATGAGTACTTGGTGGATTATCTTTCTGGTATTATGTATGATTGGCAATTCTTGATGGGTCTAGGGATTGGGTCATCATCATTTGTTATGTTTTTGGCTTTTCTCATGCTTTTGACTTTATATTTCCTTGATTCATAGGCTC